TTTGTTAACCACAAACATACAGGACATTGTAAACACGGGTGTCGAGGTGGCGGGGTTCGCTGTAGTTGGATTTCTGAACGGACGGGGGCGAGGGGCGGAGAGGGAGGAGGGGTGAAGGGACACTCGGGCTTAGACAAGACCACTCAGGGGATCCTGTATGCGGCAGGCCATCCATGAGTCATCATATATACGTATATATGTATAGCTTTATATTATACATCTTTTTAAATATATATATATAATATATATACTATACACAGGCAGTAATGCGTCAGGGGAAGGGGCAGGGCAGCCCAGGTGATGTTTCGGATGCCACGCAGGCAGCAGGGAGCCGTCTGGGCGGATGGTTTGGACTTGCTGCGTGAGGTGGCCTCGCTGGGCTCCTTGCCTTCTACCTGCTCTGGGGACCAGAGCTGAGACTCCTGTGGGAACCACCCCGCAACGCCTGCCTTCCCAGGTCCTCCCAAGTGTTTGCGAGGGTGCAGGGACAAAGATGCCTCCTCCCCGGAGGGAACTGCCAGGAATAACGCGGAGGGGAGGGGGGGTGCGTGATGAGGTGATGAACAACGTGGTGGGGACGCGGGTGAGCCGGGGATGGGGACACGTCAGGAGACTTGAAGCCACAGGTAAAATTGAGGCAAAGTTCCATCATCCCTTTGCCCTTCACAGCCCCTACTTCCACAAAATAGCCCCTTACTTGGGGGCTTTGTAAGATGACAATCAAGGGGCCATTGCTCCCAACAGGGGATGCGTAATCCTCTGTAATCCCGACAAACGGCAGAGGGGGAAGAAAGCCGCCTTACCATTTTGCTTATACAGCCTTCCCGCTGATCTCCTAATCCCTAGAGTGCGGCTGATCGCACCCACGTTTAGGATCTAAAGGGACATGTTCCAGACAGCTGCTCGGGCCTTGCCTACGACCACCAGAAATAGGCAGCACCTTGTCAGAAGCGCCTACGAGAAGATAACCAACCTTTTGGGCAGGTCCGTATGTCTCATCAGCTGCAGAACCAGCCAAATGCCACTGGAAATTGCATTTTAAAGAGCTGCATGCAAACAAGGAGAATCCCACCTCCCACCCCCCAGGTCTGTCACCACCAACCTTCCACTCACTGCAAAGGTTGAAAGCATGTCAACCCAAGGAGAGTATGTCTTCTCCCAGGAGCAAAAGCAAGAAGTTGCCCCAGCATCTCCTGTTGTAGTGTCCCCTGCCACACCAATGCCTTTCCTACGACATAAAGCAAGGAGGAAAGGGACAGAGAGATGGGCAGTAACCCAGGATGAAGCCACCCGGCTCATGTCTCACTGAAGTTCTGGCTCTGAGGGAGAGGCTCATTCCTACCTCAAGCCCACTGGAGCCCGTCAGCTGGTTACACGAGGGAAGCAAGACAAAGAGGCTAAATAAAAGCTTGCTCATTAGTCAGCCCCAAATGGTGTTTAGTCATCTACGTAACTCTGATGGGAGAAAGGGCATGGAAGATGCTCCTGTGCTACACCCCAAAACAGAGCCCAGGTAGACACCCCCCCCCCCCCATATATGGTCCATACCTCTCCTCAGGCACCTGGTTCCTCACCAAGGAGAGGGGACAAGTGATGGGCAGTTCCTCCCAAAAAGTGCAACACATTTTTGTGCTGAGGGCTGGTTATTTACAGCCTCCTTCTCCTCTTGGTTTTCACCCTCCCCACCCCCACCCCCCCCCCAAACAAAAGTATGAAGGATGACACAGATGAGTCTGGGTGAGTACAACTAGTTTTTCTCCTCCTCCACCTTGTAATTTGTTCTTTCCTTTCCCCTGCTGGGAAAGATGGACTGGAGGGAGCTCCCACCACAGCCACAGTCATAACAACCCTCTCTCAATAAAGTAACCCCCTCCCAAGCCTAAATATTAGGCTGAACCCACAGAAAAAGAAGCCCAAGGGGCTTCCCTCCAAAAAATACCCCTCCTATTTACAGTATTGCTTTCGCTTACATCCACAGAGCAAGGGATGTGTGCCCAGTCCCTCCCAATGCGTCCATGGGGCTTGCTGGTCCCCCTCTCCCGTCCTCACCGGTGGTTAACCACCAGCAAGGGGGGGGAAAGCCACGGGGAGGACAAGCCATGCGGACAGCCACCGGCAGCAGAAGTCTGCTGGTAGGAGCAGGTAGAAATGGTGCCTATATACAACAGAGAACAACTGTCCCCCTTCCCTCTTGGAGCCTGCAGCTCTACGATTTCTACCCCCTTCCCCATCGTTGTGGGGCAGCTGGAGGGGAGTCGCGCAGGGAGGAGGGGAAGGACTGGTAACCTCAGTGTCCTCCAGATGAGATGTTCACACAACCACAGGCCAGACCTCCTCCGGACTCCTAAGGGTGCTATGGGGAATAGGCTGGTCGCTCAGGAAGGGCACCTATGGATTTTGGATCTGCTCCTGATCCCTGCTACTGGGGCCAGTGTTGTGTGGAGCAGGGCGGCTGCCTGGATGGAGCTCCTCACTGCTGCAAGGCATACCCCACTTCTTGTGCCGAGAGACATCTATGCTGGGGAGAATTCTCCCGGTGGCTATTGCTGAATCATTTCCCTTTAGGGACCGTCTTCGTACACAGACCATACTTCTAACCTGGAATATAAAGTGTGCTTCCACAGCTGTGTCTTTACTTGAAGCAAAATCATGAGGAGTGTGGAACGATGTCCCTATGAGTCCTATCTGAGAGTCACTACTGCCACCTAGGTGAGGATTTAAAGACAGCCAGGATCTGAGATGCCACAGGAAGATGCACTAAGATACAGTCTATGTAAAGTACAGTAAGACCGGTTTTCAGAGAGCTCAGTTTGGCCCAGCCAATTCTCTGCACACCAAGACCTTCTCCCCCTCTCAGTGGGAGGCAAAGTGCAGCTGCTTGGGGCAGGACCCTTCCCTGCTTGGTTGCAGCCCTGTTGCAAGAGCCAGACGCACGCTGGCCATCCCAGCAGCAGTATTTCTTTCCAGGGGGAGTCCTGCTCCGTTCCTGTGTGCTACAAAGATGGTGTCAGCAAGAGGCTTTGCGCTGCGGTAGCAGAGGAACGGAGCAGGGTTCAGCAGGACCTGAGGAGCAAAACTGGCTTTCCGCTCCTCCTCCTGCCCAGGGTAAAATGGCAAAGCTCTCCTCTCCCACTCGAACCAGTCCAGCTGGGGAGGAGGGTTCTCAGAGCCCCCCAGATGCCCACCTCCTCCATCCTTCCTCCCGCAGGCACCGCATCTGGGGGCCAGGCACTGGGCATGGCTCCCCTCCTGCCTCACCAGACACCGCTCTGGGAAGAGTGGCGAGCAGGACGTACAGGCAAGGGGACCCACCTCCAGCTCAGTCCGAGGGGACTGGGGAAGGAGTGACTCTCGTGGCACTGCCTCTCTGCTCTGCAGAGTCCCTTGCTGTAAACCGACAGACGTGCCTGGGGTTTCTGATTGTACCTGCAAATCTTCCTCCTTCCCATTTTATCGCTTTGTGCCCCCTGCTGCCACAATACCCCTTCTCCCCAAACCCTCTAAAAATAAAGCGTTCCTCCCTCACTAATGTGTGGCAGAGAAGAGCCCCCCTGTCTTTTCATGGGGGATGCCATTCCCACTCCCCTCCAGCCCCCCCCCCACACACTCCTGCATACTGACTCCAACACTATCCCCCTCCCTGAGCCACCAGGCCCTCCAGCCCAGTTCGGATACTTCCACATCTGCTCCAGCCTTTAGCGACACCATCTCTTCTAGGAAGGTCCCTGATTCCTCTCACTTCTCCCCTTCTTCCTCCAACACCCCCTTCCCTGCCCCGCTGGTGCCGTAGCCCCTCTCCTGCCCACTGGCCAGACTCTGCCCTCTACAGCAAGGCAGGAGGGAGAGGAGGGAAGGGGGGACCTTCCTGTCACAATGCAGTGACAGTTTGTGGAAGAATCTGGTTCTGGCAGGTACTTTTGGGGGAGGAGGAGAAGGAAGAGGTGATGGGGAAACCTTCTTTTCTTTTTTTTTTTTTTTTTTTCCCTTTTTTAAAAAGATAAATAAAAACAGATGACCCAGAAGGCTGGAGCATAGCTGAGAGCCACCTCTTGTGCCACTACGCACGTGTCTGGTTTTGTGCCTCGGCTTTCTGCCGGCAGTGGGAAAGGGGGCGGAAGGGAAAGGGGGGAAGGGAAAGGGGCATCGGTGGCTCAGTAGTTCTGCGTTTGGTACCCCTGTGTCTCGGTGTCGAAAGCATCTGCTGGAGGGGGCTGCTGGTACGTCCCCACCGCATCTGTAGCATCCTCCTCGTTCGTGTAGGGAGCATAAGGCATGCCGGAGTCCTGGCTTGGGTCCATGTAGTCCTGGGAGAAGAGGGCCGAATCGGCACCCAGCCGGAAACGCTGATACGCCAGGAATGCCTGGCCCACCTTTAAGGGAGAAGGTGGAGGGAAGAGATGGGAAGCAGAGAGGGGAGGGGAGAGAGAGAGGGGGAACGTACCGAGAAAGAGAAACAAACAAAAGTGAGGTTAGTAGTGGTTACGGATTAGTGCGAGAGGCCTGCCTGGCAGACCACCGGCGGAACACCCGTGAGAGCATGGAGGTTCAGGCTGCCCCACGGAAAGCACAAGCCCGCCGGGAGAGAGGAGGGATGGGCAGGGGTGGCTGTGAGCCCAGCCGGCTGGGTGCAGCCTGCCGGGGCTCCCCGCTGGCCCTGGGGTGTGCTGGGCACCTCCTGCCCGGCGGTGGGGTTTCACCAACGTGGCACAGGGGTCGCAGAGGCTCAGTTGGCAATGCGGTTATCCCATTCAGCTCCTCCTGTCCCTGGGAAGGCAATCTGCCTCAGCTACGCTGCAGCTTTGCCTTCAGAGGCCATTTTGCCTTCAGAGGCCAGGAAAGAGAGCAAGATTTGACCCGGAGTAGCGAGGTAGTGGTCACCCCCTGTAACCCCCCTTCGCCGGGCAACATCCACACGGAGCAGCACCGACCTTGGGAAGGAGGAGCAGGAGGCAAAGCGGCTGCTTCCCAAACCAGGGCACAGTTAGCAGCACACTGCTGCCTCCTGCCCCAGGCACTGCAGGCAAGACACCCTTTGGTGGACTGAGGGAGTTCAGCAACACAGACCCCAGCAAGCACAGCTCGTTGTCCCAGAGCATTTCTGACAGAGGTGAGCAGTCTAGCAGGTGACAGGGGGAGAGGTTTTTGGGGAATGGGGGCTGGAAGGAAATGGAGGAGATAAAGTGGTGGAGGCAGAGGGCATCTCCTGGCTGAAGTATTAGGTCTGAGCAGTCATCGAAAGAAAGGCACAGCAGTGTTATGCAGCATTAGTTAGGGTATGGGTGAGGGAGAGAAGGGAGCAGAGGAGGAGGAGAAGAAACTGCCAGTTCCAACTCCCCGGAGGGAGATCCCCCATAGCAGGGACAATTCCACTCCAGTTCAGTGGCCCATGTCTTCCCACCCTGTGCCCTGCAGTGATCACACACCCCCAGTTGGGGCGTTGGAACTGTTTCTGCTCAGTAACCTCCTCCAGCTGCACTTCTCCACCCCTTCCCCCAAATTCCCCCATCAGCGAGGGCCACTAAGGCAGCAAGGATGGGGAGTTAGGGAACAGGGTGTTGTATTCTTCCTGAAAAGTAATGTCTCTGAGTCTCCGGAAAGCCAGAAACGTGAGGAAGCCCTGTGAGGAGAGAGGGGTGTGGGGAGAAGAATCAGTAAGGAAGAGGAAACCACAGCGTTTGATTGAAATAAAAACCCTAAGGAATTGGAGGAAGAGTGTGCCTATTTATCCACTTGCAAGCCCATGCATTGAGGAGGACCACTGCAGGTGGTGGCACCTCAAAAAGGGTCCTGAGGGAACCCTTGCAAAAGCCTCGCTCCTTGTCACACTTTTCGCTGGAGCTTGCAAGGAGCTTTCAGCAGCACTCGAGTGCAGGAGACAGCTCGTGGGGGGGACACATACACTGCTGTCCCTTGCCCTGACTTGGTGTCACCTTGGCGAGGATGCTGACCACACAACCCTTTGCAGCCCCCCTTCCTCTCTGTGATAGCTTCATGGTCTTACGGCACCCTTCCTACCTGGCCTCTGCCCAATGTTGAGGCCCTCAGGGAGAGGCGAAGACAAAGCCACAAGGATTTAAGCATGGAGACTGGCCTAAAACGCCTTCCTGTGAAGGCGCGCTCCTGTGACTTCAGCCAAAAATCACTTGAGCTTGGTGCTTTCAAAGACAGGAGGAAATTGTGGGGGATATTTATATTGCGCACCACAGTTTTTCCAGGAAACGAGCAATAAAGAACTGCTGGGGAAAGGGTAGTCTTAAGAGGCAGCACCATCACCTTCCTAAGAGGCAATGCAGTGAGGCGGTACTGCAGTCGTGGGTGGAGATGGAGAGCCCAGAGGGACACTGACCGCAGGCTCTTGTGGCCACTGACAACATTTCATGTGATGGGAGCATAGCAGGGAGGGAGGTGGGTGCAACCCCCCTGGCCTGGAGCTCCCTTCTCTGCTTAGTGCCTGTGAGGTGAAAATGCTGTTCAAGTCCTCTGACGCACAGGGAAAATGATGTTTGGGGAGCTGGCTTGTCCAAGGTCATATCAGAGGTTTGTCAAGGACACTCCTTACTGGGATACGGGAGCCTCTTTCCCACTGTGCTTATTAAAGCTCTAGCACCTTCTTCCCTGTAAGTTTTTGAGTCCTCGTTTCCCAAGTTTGCTTCTTAACCACCTCCCCTTCTGCTCTCCCTTCTCAGAAGCCATGTGAACTGAGATTTCAGAGGGAATCACTCTTAACCAGCCACATTCCATTCCCCACAAGCTAATACAGTGCAGAGGACACTTGATCCAACATCATGACCGCTGTACTCACCCAGGTGAAGATGGAGAAGAACGAGAACGTGATGGCTGCTCGGGCTGCATCCCCTCCCTCATTCATTGGGTTGTCCTCTTCTTTTGAAGCGTGCCACTGGTTGGTCAGAAAGCAGAAGCCAACAAACCAAAGGAATGCCCAAAAGGCTGGAATGAACCGCAACCAGCATGCCAAAGGGGAAGGGGAGAGACACCAAGATGCTACGTGTGAACAGAGCATAAACACATCACGTTTCTCTGTAAACTTCAACCCTACGAGACCCACCAATGTGTTGCAGACTGGGCCAAATCCTGACTGTGCAGCCTGTCTACGCCCACGCGAGCTGGCAGGCTCGCTGACGGCTAAATTTTCAAGGTGACGATAGGTATCTGCGGAAAGTACCTCAGGAGAGTTCATTTGCTTGTGTTTGGATTGATCACAGGACTTGCATTTGGCCTTGGGAGGGAGCCTGAAGGGCTTCCAGTACAGAAGCGATCACCTAGGCTCTCTGAAACAGCCACTGCCTCAACAAGCCTCTCCTGTAAGGACAAACAAAGAGCAATTCCTTCCAATGGAGCTGCAGAAGAGTGGGAAGCAGCTGGCCTGCAGTTGCACAGAAACTGGCTTTTGCTCAGGACAGCACAGGCGAAGGGAGTCACACTGAGGAAAGTTGATGAAGGATCAATAACATGCTGTACCCCTGGGAAAGGGGTCAAGGTAGCGGGGAGCCCCGAGTCCAGACTGGCAGCTGGTGCGGAGGAGTGGGACTCACCCCCTCTGCCAGGCACTGCCAGATACCCATCAGCGAGGAAAATGGGCATTCCTAAGTGACAGCAAAACAGGGCTCAGTCCTTCCCCGTCTCTTTTTGGCTGTACACAGGACTGCGAGGCAAGGGGCTAACCGTCAACAAACCTGCAAGCCAGAAGTCCTAAACAAGTTCAGACGCTGCATCTGATCCTGCCCTTGCTCCACCCGTGGCCCCTTTGACAAACTGTGGGGGGACCCTGACGTGGAGGAGCTTGCCTGTGTGGCCGGAGTAAGCCAGGAGAGTGACTCAGGATCACAGCACGAGAGCAAAGCGCTTCCTCGTGATGCTGCTGACTGGCATTACACGTGCACGTACACACGCACCATCACTCCGTCACTTCAACACACCACTGGAGATGGAGAGATCTGACTATAAGTTAGTATAAGCCTCAGGGCTGGCTGAGGTGCTGCACAGCTATTCACATAGGCAATGCTAAGTAACCTAGGAGGACTGGTTTGGTCAGCCTGCATGAAAAACCCTCAACTTTTTTTAGGTTAAAATATAGAGGGTTCAATCAGCTGGAGCTGGAAAAGAAGGAAGTACCATCTCCAGAGGCATCAACACTTGGACTTAGCAAGCACAAGCGTGCAGGGAGGAAAGACCTGTTGATCCTAAAGGGCTCCCTGAGCTACGCCTATGGAGAACAGCAGAGAGGCATCAGCTAGACTGGCTGAGAAGAGAAAGGGAAAGAAAAGGAGAGAGGCCTGAGAGAATAAGGAACCCAAAGACCTCCCTGCTAACAGGAACCTGGCCTGCAAGGTAGCAGAAGCTTCCTCCCTCTCCCTTGCTGGCGGAGAGGACTATGAGGACTAAGAGGACTGAGAGGACTACTTTCTTTGACTCCACTATGGCCAGTCGTCCAGGCAACTCACCCGAGACTCCGATGTCTGAGAGCACTGCCTTCTTGCGGTCCTTGACGCTGCTGATCTGTGGGAAGTAGGCATCCAGAGCCAGGTAAAGAAGGCAGCTGAGGAAGGCCAGGACACCCACGGTAATGCCATAGTTGCAGGCATTGCGATTGCGGTTGAAAATGCAGTGCTCTTGTGTCTCGTCCAGGTGGTTCGTGTACCCCTCGTTGACAATGGAGCCAAACACCACGATGGAGAACACCTGGCAGGGAGGGAGGCAGGAGACACGTCAGGGCAAGCCCCATCTCTGTGGACCAGCACAAAGGAGCAGAGAGCTCTGCGGGGGATCCACACCCTTCGCAAGCACCGCTCTGCTCTGCTGAGCTCCCGTCCCGCTGCCTTGCCTGGGCTGTAGCCACAGGTTGCTCACTGGGGACACGGTGTCATTTTATTTCTGAGGATAAACTTAAAATAGGACACTTTTAGACTGAGCCTTTTTATCCATCTGATCTAAAGCAATGTAAAGCACAGACACAGACAGACAGGGAGGCGACATGGAGTGTAAGTTGGGATATGGTTTTGGTGCGGGTGCCTGCGTACAAGGGTAGTGGAAATCCTCTTAGTCTGCACTTATTCTCCCACCCACTCCTCTCCCTTCTAGGAATACATTGTTTCTACCACGCATTTGTTCACTAATTTTATCTATCCAGCTACTATGGTCTTTTCCCCATCCACCCTCCCACAATCCACAGCCCTGCTTGCTCTGCAGCTCCATTTTGCCAGGCTCCCGCTCTCCCCATCTCCCCGCACGTCACACACCTCGCTCCACCAGTTTTCCACCAGCCCAGTCCATGACACCACCCATCCTTCCGCCACTCACCCATACACCAACACCCTCCAACCTTCCCTATGGATTTCATGAGCCAAACATCCCCCCTCCAGGTCCACCTGGCAGGGCCACCACGAGTCCTTCCTACCCATCACTGCCACTGCCACTGCATGTTATTTTAAATCAGGTAGATTTAAGGATGAGTCCAGGTAGAAATGCCATGATCTGCAGTTGCTGGTCTAATCTTCACTCATGGGTTTAGCCTTCATTGCCTGCCCCAAGGCTATCCCTCTTTGACACAGCAGGTTCACCAAATCAGGAGAGCTATTTACAGCAGCCTCAGTCCTGCATCTCAAATAAGCATCTTCCTCTCACAGCCACAGGAGAAAGAGGAGAAGATTAAATCAGCATGTATAGATTTTCCTTTGCAGGGCATCTTGAGATCCTTAGTAGGAGCTGCCCAACTGCAGGCTGCCTGCGTGAGCCCCAAGGAGATGGGAAATGGGACCTCAAGCACAGGGTGAACATACGTACAACGTGCACTAGGACATCACTGGGGCACTCTGCTAGCCTGGGGGTTGTTGGCACAGCAGGGACCTGGCACCCTTGGAACCACCACCCCATCCCCAAGGAGAAGATGAAGTGGCCAAGCCTTCTGCAGGGCATGGAGGTAGGTCTGAGGGTTTGCTAGGTCAGAAGGAGCTTAGTACCACTTAACCCAACCAAGCAAGCATCAGAAGATAACATGGCAGACAACTCAGAAAACAGAGAAGCAGCTTTGTGAGTGCACGGAAAATTAACTGTTGATTCATGCCAACCCAATACACCATCTATCATCAGTGGGGTTGGACGTCTGAGATTCACAGCACAGACCTCTGCTGACTGACCTGTGGCATCCAGAACCAGAGGAAAAACCTTATTTACAGTCCCCAACATCCTGACCACGTTTCAGCTGCCAAGTTCTAACAAGTATCCACTGACACCGATATTATTTTTTTATCCCAAGGCTCATAATTGGGACACGCTCGGGTTGCTGAGACTGGGCACATTTTTGATACACTAGAGCAAACTAAAAAAGCTTGAAGCCAGTGCTCCTAAGTGTGGGGACTGTATGGGTTCTCTGAAAGTTCACAAGAGCTTTTTAAGCTTAGAAGTAAAACAACAGATTTGTCCTTCCTCCTCTTTCTTCTTGAAAATCAAGACTGATCTTTGCAGAAATTGCCCGTGAAAATTAAACAAAAATCTCTTCTGCTTGAAGCAAAGGTCTGGTCTTCAAAACTCCAGCCTGAACGGTTTGGAAAGCAGCAAAACTGCACACAATTACACCCAGGCTTTTTCAGTGGGAAGTTTTACACACCTTCACAACAGGCTGGGCTGACAGGTCTGCCTAGGACCGCTGGCACTAACACCGTGTTCCTCTAACCTGAGGGGGAGCTGACAGACTCCTGAAGCAATGTCCCAGTGTGAGGCTGTGACCAGCACCAATGCTGCCACCTGAAGTACCAACCTCCATATATTGGGATTACAAAGCGGGTGCCCCGTTTTCCACGGCATTAGTCAGAGTGCGTATCTTCTCTTTGGATGATGAGAAACAGCCTCAAAAGTGGATTAGTCAGCTGTTCGGGTTTGGTTTAGGGCTCAAAACTAGTAAAATGTCAATTCCCTGAGTCAGGCCAACACTTGCAGCGAGCTGTATTGCAAGTCTCTGCTCACTCATTTAGGATGAATGAACTTCTGTAATGGCCTCTCCCCAGAGACACCTCTGTTTACTCTGCTCATATCCTGATACACATCTTCCCTCTGCTCTTATCTTTGGGTTTGCTGCTGGCCTGGAAGAGCTCTCATCTGTGAGCAGAAGAAGCACAATATTTTTTTTTTTTTTGCATTTTCTCTTTTATGCCTTTTTATGCCAGCACGTCACAAAGACACAGCTCAGAGTCACGAGACCAGAGGGACACCTCCCTCTCCCTAATTTTCAAGCAGAGGTGGCATTCCTACTTCCTTTCTTCATCTTCGGTCAGCCAAGATGTCACAACTTCTCTCCTATAAAGAGAAACCCATTTCTCAGCCTAGAGGTGCCAAGGTATGATTTACTGGCAAGCATCTGATTTAAGATGATCCTAGTTTTTCTAGGGAGATTCCACTAAGCGTATTCTCACTCGTGAGCAGAACAAGTCACCGCAGATGCTGATCTTCTGGGTCCTGAAACAGCCACCCCAAAGTACTCTTTGTCCTTAGGACAGCTTTCTACGGACCAAAGCACAGCAACTTAAGGGATGTCTCCTTCTCTCCACATTTTCCTCACCGCTGGATCAGCTCTGGTCCATGCTCTGCTCCTCGGTGTTGCAGAGAGAGCAAAGTCAGTGGCAATGGAGAGGGCTCGCTCCCTTTGCCAGCCTACCACCACCCTCCTGGCACAGCAAAGCGCTGTGAGGATCCGCTGTGTGCAGAAGCCTTGAGCTGGACTGGATAACACTGACTGGGCAAGAATGGGCAGGCTCAAACCAGGGGTTTCAGACTGACAGGCAGAACTGGACAGCAGGAGAAGAGGCAATCAATCGCTGCTGCTGCTGACAGGGGGTGTCGCCCGTTTCATCCCTGTGATGTCTATACCCAGAAACTGTTGTGATGGGTGCACATACAAACAATTTTCTAGAGAAAATGATAATTATCAGAGCCCGGATCTTCCAGCCCTCAGGAGAAACTGTCGCACACTTAATCCATGGCAGCTACTTCTTGTTGTAAGGGGGCAGGTGGGTAGCTCACTGATGCAGCAAGTCATCACAGAAAGAGCAAGTCTTTTTTATTTTCTTGATTTCACTATCTGTGCCCGTGCAAAGATGATCCAGGCAGCAGGTGCAGTATGAATGTCTGCCTGGATTATAAACAAAGCACCAAGCCTGGCAGGATGAAGCATTTACGTTCTCATTCCCATCACATCTGCAGCACTTCTGAAGAAATGTCAGCTACCAGCAGCACTGGCACAATCCTCTTGCCCCTCTGTGTTACTGCTGCTTGTTCCTTCTATGCCCGTTTGGCATAGCAAATCCTGGCTGCACAAAGTCTTGCCTACAGCCACTAATAAAACGGTCCAAAATACACGTCCAGTGGCAAAGAGGAGGCGAGGAGAAGATGGCAGGAGTCTTCTCCTGACTAAGCACCGAGACGCAGCGAAGTGACTTGCCCAAAGGCTGGCAGGAGGCTGGCACAAAGCACTGCAACCCAACGCTCCCAAACACAGCCCATCCTTCCGCACCGCAGAGGGAGATCATTAGCCACTTTCCTGCACTCGGTGGCTAAAACCAGCCAGCCATCCCCAGCTTTGTGCACCTGAACGGCCTCGCTTCTTTAGTGAGGCTGCTTAAGTCAGTTAACGGGACCTAAAGTAACGAGATTTTTAGGTTGAGAGGGTTTCCTTAAGCCTCCAAGAGCAATGTTAATTGGGCAGGTGTGTGGCCTGTCTGGAGGTGTGCGTTTAATAAGCAGTAATATATCTGTCTCTGCTAAAAAAAAGAGGGACAGAAAACAGCATGTAGAGAAGACCTGACCAACTCAGCATTGCTGCTGGGACCTGGCTTTTCTCGACTTCGCCACTCCTTAAACATTGCATCCACAAAGGTTGTCACAATGATTTTCCTAGACTTCTGTTTTCATCAAAGAGCTCTGAGACACTAAGCAAAGCCCAGATCCAGGCACTTTGCAAAGCTGACAGAGACAGAGCAACTTGCTGAAAGATGCAGAAAAATGAACGTAATGCTGAGCACTGCGGGGAGAAGACAGGGAGAGCCTGCGAGTTTCCGTCCCAGTTTCTCAAGGAGCTCGTGCTGGCCACTGCAGTAAGGGCTCACTACAGCAACAAAAGTGTAGAACAGGCAAAAGGCTGCATCCCACCATAAAAGACCTTTTATTTTTTCTCTCACTGAACCGGGTGATCTGATTTTTCCAGAGGCAAAGGCAAGAGATGAGCCCTCAGAGGAGAGGCTCTCCGGTCCCTCCCCACCTCCCTGCTGCAGGCTCAGCCCCGCAGAAAGCCAGGCGAAACCTCCTGAGCATCATGTGAAGCTTTTCACCGCGCTGCCCATCCCCAGCCATGCATCAGACGCTCCTGAGCATCATGTGATGGATGCACAGCACAGCCAGCCTCTGGCGGTGCACTAGGATTTTCCTGCGTGTCATCCCAGGAGTTTGTCACGCTGCCTCCTGACTTCATCCCCGAGATCCCCATGATGGTCACAGCAGGCATGAGGCTGAAGAGGGTTTCTGTCAAGCCGCCTGCCTGGGCTCGCTGCGGTGCCCTCCGGTCACAGGCTCTGTTGCACTGCGTGATGCTTCTCCCTCTCCCAAACCCCCTTTTTATATTCTATTATAGAGAGGAAATAGTTTGGTGACATTATATTCCTCGTGGGACTTCAAATCAAATCCACCTCAAGCAG